TTTCTACAAAGAAGTTGAAGATTAGATGGGGAGGTTTCAATTCTCATGTTGAATAAATAAATAAACAGATTATATTATATTAAAGTAGGGTTTAATTTGAAAATAATATAATAAGGCTCGAGTAACGAGAAATTGATCAAATAGCTGCATTTACAAATTTGACAGTGGAATCGGCACCATGATTCCCACCAGTAAAAAGGTCCAATAAGGACAAGGGTTCCACATGCATGCTTTTTATTAGTACGAAATGAAATTTCATAATTTTATTTTAAAGTATAAAAATTTAAAAATTGATTAAATAATTAAAATTTGTAATATAATTTGACCTTTTTTGTATCTCATATTTACCTCACTAATTTTTTAACATGATTAAATAATAAAAATAAAATTGAATTAAGAGGAAAAAAAGAAAAAAAAGGAGAAATTGGAGTCGCTGGTCTGGGAGGAAGAGAATGAGACGTCGAGGGAGAAATTTTTATCTTTAGGACAAAATAATCTTCAAAATAATTTAAATTGAAAAGGTAAAATAGGAAGAAAAAGTTTATCCTATGACCCCTTTTATATTAGATATAATGAAAAAAATAGTTATTTAAGAAAATTAGGTGGATAGTAAATCTTTTGAAATTATCAATTTTATTCTAAGTTGTATTAAATATTTTTATTTAGATCCTTTCAAAATTTGTTGACAAAAAGTCAAATATGTCAATCAAAGAATTATTTTAATAACATATTTAAATGCGTGCTCATGTCACCTTCTAGATACATAAATTTATCAATAAAATCAAATCATTATAGGTGTAGTATATTATATGCATCTAAATATTTTAATAAAACAATCCCTCTCATTAACAAATTTCTTTATGGAAGACTTTAACTGAGCCATTTTAATAGATTGTCTTTTAATAGATGTATTATACCTTCAAAGTTTATCAATTTATTAGAAAAAAAGTTAAAAGTTAAGAAATGTATTTCTTTAACAAGCGAATATGGAAAGTTCATGTGGTCATCTACGACTGTCCTCCGAATTAGTCGAACTATACGTAATTTAATTATTTTCTGATCTAAATGAAAATATTTCTGAACAGTCTCTTAATCATTTCTCCCATATTTACTTTAAACTTTTTTTATTCTTTCTCTCTTTTTTTTTTAGAAATATTCTTTCTCTTTGATAATAGTCATTTTAATTTTTAACGATAAAAATCAAAAAATAACCCAAATATTAGAAAATAATTTATGCTAATTTTAATAACTGAAAAAAAGACGTTTTTTTAAAAATAATAGTAATAATAAAGACGAATTTTGTATTGCCACTGTAGATCATACTCGACGGAAAACACGACGGAGAAGGGTTCCGGCAGCCGTTGCTCGTCTATGTCTCCCGAGAGAGAAGACCATCGGTTCCTCACAGGTACAAAGCCGGCAACGTCAACACCCTCGTGAGTTCCTCCTCTTCCCGCTGTCACTCTGTATAATTTGGTTCCTTTATCCTCGCGCCGAAATTGAATCCCTAATTGTTGCGATTTCAGGTTCGCGTCTCCGGATTGATCAGCAATAACCCCATTTTACTGGTTTTGGATTGCGATATGCACTGCAATGACCCAACATCAGTTAAACAAGCGATGTGCTTCTATCTCGAATCCACTGTTTCGAGCTCTCTCGGATTTGTCCAGTTCCCCCAAGTTTTCTACAATATTAGCAAGAATGATATCTATGATAACCAAGCCAGACCTGCTTTCAAGGTAAATTGATATGTTTATCTATTTGCTTTTAGTGGAGGTTTTTGCAGATTAGGTGTTTGTCATAATGCCATGTTTGTGGATTTTTGTTTTTAGACTAAGTGGTGTGGAATGGATGGGTTAAGAGGGCCAGTGATGTCCGGTACTGGATATTTCTTGAGGAGGAAAGCGTTGTTTGGGAGTCCTAATCAAGAAGGTAAATCTGGGAAGATCTCTCTGTTTTGATTTAAATCATACTGCTTCTGTTTCTAATGCACCTTGCTCTATTTTGTAAATTCCAGAGAAGTTTGACCTGGAGCCAGGAAAAGTTTTTGGTCGATCCCAAAAGTTTGTTGATTCGATGGAGGTGAAAAAGGAATATCCAACTGATGAGATATTGAATGAAGCCGTGGCATTGGCGTCCTGTTCTTATGAGGACAAGACAGAATGGGGCAAAAAGGCAAGTTATCTTTTCAAGTATGTTCAAACAGTTAGTATAAAAGATTAAACATGCTTCAGTTTTTTAGTCTAGTTGTTAGTTTAACATGGTATTGGGATGAAATATGTTTGAATTCTTGATCATCACTTATTAAGTCTTATGTTTGATTTTCCAACCTACAAGTGAGAAAAGGATGTGTATTAAAGATTATAGATACCATAACTTGTTATCTTTAAGCAAATCTTGCTGTAGTTTAAGTATTCAACTTGAGTTATTTCTAAATGGTGATGCTGAAACTTGAGTTACATTCTTTGGATGGTTCAGATTGGATTCTCATACGATTGTTTATTGGAGAGCACGTTCACTGGGTACCTGCTGCAATGCAGAGGATGGACTTCTGTTTATCTATACCCGAAGCGACCATGCTTCCTTGGTTGCAGCCCTGTCGACATGAAAGACGCCATGGTTCAGATGCTAAAATGGAGCTCTGAGTTGTTTCAAGTCGCTTTCTCTAAGTTTAGTCCTCTCACATACGGCGTCTCGAGGATGTCCATTCTCCAAAGCATGTCCTACGCCTACTTCACATTCTCTTCTTTGCTTTCAGTTGCATTTGTCTTGTATGGAGTGATTCCTCAGTGGGGCTTCTTGAAAGGCATCCCTTTGTATCCCAAGGTAAAGAAAATCTCTCAACTTTGAACATAAACTAAAAATCTTTCTGTGTGCGTTTTTACATCAGACTGTTCTGAATTTGCAGCCTTCAGATCCATGGTTTGCTGTGTTTGTCGCCATATTCGTTTCTTCCCTTGTCCAACACCTGATCGAGGTCCTCTCGAGCGATGGCAACTTGAAGACATGGTGGAACGAGCTGCGAATCTGGGTAGTGAAGTCAGTTTCTGCCTGCTTGTTTGGGCTCGTAGACGCCATGATGAAGATAACAGGAATGAAGAAGATGGACTTGAACTTGACAAACAAGGCAATAGACAAAGAGAAGATGGACAAATACGAGAAGGGGAAGTTTGATTTGCAGGGAGCTGCAGTGCTGATGGCTCCTCTGTTTGTAATGGCTGTGTGGAATATGATTTGCTTTGTGGGTGGGATGAGGAAGATGGTGAAGGAGAGGAATTTTGAGGACATGTTTGGACAAATGTTTCTTCTATCCTTTGTTCTGGTTCTGCACTATCCTGTCCTTGAAGGTGTTGTAAAAAGGAAAGGAAAATCACACCAATGAGCTCTCTTGCACCATCTCCTCATGTCTTCTTAGCTTAGCCGGGCTGCTAAATTTTTTGTTTTAATAGGGAATGAACAACACATCGTTGAATAAAGTTTGCTATTTGTGTATTTTATCTATTAATCTGCACCACTTAATGAGTTGTTTTTCTATATGTATATATTTTCACTTGTATTTTTTTATATTAAATCCACAATTTATTTAGCTATTATAAGCTTACCTTTTTAATCAAAAATCGAAATGGTTATCAAATAGACTCTAGACATTAATCGAAATGGTTATCAAATAGACTCTAGTGTTTAGTGTTAATTGCATTGATCTTTCATTTTAATTTTAGTTATCTAATTTACATTTAAACTATTTATACATAATGCTATTAATTATTTAAAATGTACAATGTATTTATAACATTTTTTCATTGTGATTGTTGTTTTTCTGTATTTTAAAAATCAATTACTAATATATGATCATTTCATGAAAAAATCACTACACATCATGAATTTAATACATATTTTAAAAAATGCAATTTCATAATTTTTCATTTTCTTTCAAATATAGTGTAAGTTTTCTGGAGAGTTTTATAATATATCCGAGTTTAAGTTTGATTTGGGTTATGCTATTTTTGCAAAATTTCAAACATTGTGCTATATCAAAGATTATATATCTGCTTTATATTATTTATGTGAATGTGTCTTTTAAGCAATATTTACATTTTTTTAAGTACTCCATTGAGTAATTTTAAATTCAAAAGACTCCGTATCATAATCATGTGTTGGGATGGGACATCTTGACACCTATTTGATAATGCTTTTGTTTCTTATTTATTTGTTTTTAATAAAAAAAACAAAATTGCATTTTTGGCAAATGTTTTTTATTCTTCGTTGAAAAAAAAGAAGAGAGACATTCTTGGTTGTGTTGGGTTAAAAAAGTAAAAGTTTTATATGGAAAATAAAATTTTAAATTATATATAAAGTTTTTTAATGTTAAATTAAAAAAATAATATTTTTATCCGTGTTTTGAAAAAAATATTGAAAACAAGAATGGAAAATAAGAAACTTGAACCTGTTGGAATATTCTTGTTTCTATTTCTTTATTTTTAATAATAAAAAAAAGAATTATGTGATGATAAAACAATATTTATATGTAACAAATTCGAAATGAAAAAAAATAAAGAAATTTATTTCGATTGTTTCCATAATTTTTATATAATTTTGATAATATTTCTAAAATGAGAAATAGTAAATCTAATTAATTAATTGTAAAATGCTTACATTTTTAAATAAAATCGAAAACGAGAAACCATGTGAGACATCGTTTTCAAAATTTCAAACCATTTTAGAAAATGAGAAACGAGACAAAATAATATTTATCAAATGTTTATGTCTCTCATCTGACAAACAAAAGAAATTACGACCATTTGGACTAAGTAACAAGTTCGCTCTTTTTCGTGAGTTAAAACTTGTTAACCAAGTTTATCAAACCACTTGCTACATAATAGGAAGATTTGTTTCCTACCAATTGACCAAGTTAATCAAAACAGTAGAATAACAATCTTAAAATTAAAAAAATAAATTTTTTTGCAACAAAAATCATACAATCCGATCGCCATCCTTCCACAATGGAGCAAGTTCTTCAAGATCAAGATCCAGAAAACGCCGCTGCCGCCGGCAGGCTCCATTTCCAATTCCCCACCGCCGCCGACGGCTACAAGATCCTCTACCAGATCGGCGTCAGCGACCACAGCGTCGTTTACAAAGCCATTTGCGAGTCTGCAAATAACTCGGCCAAAGTCGCCGTCAAAGTCATCGATGTTGATCGACATGTCGACGAATTCTTCGTCATGAAAATGAACTCCCTCTCCCTCATTGATCACGCCAATATCCTCAGCCCTCATTGCTGTTTCACGGTTGATCGCCGCCTTTGGACCGTCATGCCCTTCATCCACGCCGGCCCTCTTCAGGCCATACTCGCCAACCGCTTCCCCAACGGCTTGCCGGACCAATTCCTAGCCATACTTCTCCATCAGCTCCTCCGCAGCCTGATATGTCTCCACGAACTCGGATACGTCCATAGAAATATCAAGGCAAGTAATATCTTCGTCGACTCCGAGGGTTCTGTTAAGCTCTCGGATCTTAATGTCTACGTTGGTGATGATGACGACGACGATTCCTCGGTGCCGTATTGGGATCCCCCAGATGAAGAGTATAGTTTCAAATCCGATGTTTGGGCCATTGGGATTGTGGCATTGGAAGTGGCCTATGGATGCCCTCCAATTTCGGATTCAAGAACAATAAGGTCTCAATTGTTGAACATTTCTCGGCGGTTTCCGTACAATTTGAATCTTGACAAGATGTCTAGCAAGAGTGTCATCGATAGGAAATTTGGAGAATTGTTTAAGGATTTTGTGAGTTCTTGCCTTGTTAAAGATCCCTCAAAGAGGCCCTCGGCGGCAAGTTTATTGGCGCATCCATTCATCAAGAAAGGGGAGACTTCCAATGTTCTATTCAAGAGTATTGCAAAAGACATGGCTGGAATTGAAGATAGGTTTGAGAAGAACAAGGATCGGCTTGTGGAGTTGATGAAGAAGGATAGGAGAGTGGAGGATAATAATCGAGGGAATGTCGTAAAGGTTAGCGGATGGGATTTTAACAACTTCTTGTTCGAGCTTGAGCCCGACGAGGAGTCGTTGGGGAAGAGAGTTCGGTTTCGCGGCGAGACGATCATTCCGTTGAGGGATGATCATGTGAGTTTGAACGAAGCAGGCGAAGCTAGCAAATTTAATGTACCGTTGCTACTTAAACGAATGGATAGTTTGAGTTTGAGTGGGTTGAGCGGTCGAATGGGGAGCCGAGCGGAGGAGGAGGTTCGGGTTATGGATAGCGAAACGCTGGCGAAGGTGTTGACGTCTTTGGTAGAGAGCATTGATCAGCAAAGGGAAGTGATTATGATGGTGATTTCTCAGTTTGGTCGTTTGTTAGAAAGAGACATGGAGATGACAAAGGAAATAAAGAAGCTAAAGGCAGAGTTGGCGTACGAGAAAGAGAGAAGCTTTCAGTTAGAATTGGATTATGAAGTTTTAAAGCTTAAACTTCCTGATTCTGAGGATGAAGACAAATCTGAAAATTGAAATTGATTAAGTAACAATAGTTTCTCAAACTGATCAATCAATGCCTTTCCATTTTTTATTTGCAAAGTAAATGAATGTAGATGTGATTTTCTTTGCTTTGCTTTTAATCTTATTTTGGTGCCTCTATTTTTGATCTCTATGTTAAAACAATTGATTTGTGTGCTTTTTAAAAAGTGACCAATCTAACACATTAACCAATCAGAAATGAACTTTTGGATCCTTTTTGCAGATTCCTGTACTAAGTACAAAAATCGTTTTTGTCTTTATTTATAAAATTTTAACACAAACAAAAATGAAGTAATGTGTAGAGAGATTGATTACTATAGATGGAAGTAATGGCAAAGATGCATAGGTTAGGTACTCGAGTTAACCTTTAAAAAAATATTTATCGAAAGTTCATTTAGTTTTTTTTGAAGATGGTCAGTTTTCTTGTAGCGTCAGGTGCATTTCTGATACGTGGAGCAATCCACAATGGGCTTTTTGGGCCTTGATGAGGCCCAATCAGTAATAGCCCAAATGGAACACCTACTGAAAGTTGACCTCTCTCTCACAAGTCACACAATGAAACAATATATATTCAACAATATTGTTTGGATAGAAACAAAAAGAAGAGACGGCAGTGTGTTGCACTGCAGGTAAAGACTGCAATTTGGGCAACACAACCTTAAAAAAAGACAGCCATATTTAGTATTGGATGGTGTCACCCGATTGGCCAAAAGTCTTATACTTAGAATCTCAGTTAATGAAGGCCATAATCTTTTGTGTGTTCTTCTTCTCTGCTGTGTTTTTTCCTTCTTCAGTACATTTCATTTCCCCTTCTCAATCTCCTCCCTAATATCTGCAATCTCATAACTTTGTTTTTCCATTCTCATCTTCTCTTTTGTTTGTTAATATTAAATAAACCTATCTTTCATATTCATTTTCTCAGATTCTGTCCATTTCTTTCACTTTTGGGGCTTTCAGCCATTTGTGGCTTTCTTTTTCTTATTATTATTTTTCCAATTCTGAGTCATCAGTAGTTAACCTCTTTTCACACACCAACCATTCATTCATTAATCTTCATTCACTTTTAAAAGATAATATTAAGCTGTTGTTGAAAGAAGCATTGGAGTTATTATTATACTGGGCTAAAAATTACTGGAGTTGAAGCAATACTAATTAATTGCTCCTGTGGGTATATTCTATGAACAATATTTAGGTGTTGATCGGTTTTAATCAGTCAGCATCTAAATATTTTTTTTATATATATCTTTATTTGGGTTGGACAACACTATGATCAACGCAGGCTAGCTTGAAAGGATGACTAGCACCTAAGTATTGTTATAGATCCTTTATTTTTAAAAAGTGTTTAACAGATCAGGAATTTATTAACCACGAAATTGAAAGTTCAAAGACTTATTAAACGGACATATTTTATAGTTTAGAGATGAACTAAGTCACAAAATTGAAAGTTAAGAGATCCCTTCAACGTTTTTTAAAATTTAGGAATCTATTAGACACAAACTTGAAAGTTTCGAGACCGAACTTGTGATTTAATCCAAATTCTATATTTGGACATAGAAAAGTGTAACCCTAGCTATCATGTCTAGGTTTTATGAAGAATAATACTAACACATGCATACTTCTCGTCTATCTCTCTCACTACATATCAAACCCTAACTCTATATATCTAACTCCTCGTTTTGTGGGTAAGAACTCATCTCTTAACCTTCCCAGCAAACTTCCATTATTTCTCTCTCTCTCTCTCAAAAATGGAGAGCAATAGTTTGAGGGCCATTAAAGGAGAAGCCAACAACACCAACAACATGAAAGCAATGGATGAGATGAAGCCACAAACAAAGGCCAAAGCTTCTTGCAAAAACAATAATACAAGAGGAGGAGAAGAAAAACAAGGAGAAGAAGAAGAAGAAGAAACTGGATTTCCATGGCCTCCTCCAAGAGCTTATAAATGTGGGTTCTGCAAGAGGCAATTTCGGTCAGCTCAAGCTCTCGGTGGGCACATGAACGTCCACAGAAGAGACCGCGCGAAGCTCAGAAGATCTCCTCCAATGGATTCTTCTTTTTCTGCCTCTTCTGAGCCCGTTAAATATCTCAAACTGTCCGATCTCTCGAGCTTTAACAATGGCGAAGAAGAAACAAATGGTGGTGGGAGCGAGATTTGGAGGAAGGTGAAGAAGTTTGTGAGGATGGAGAAGGAGATTAGTTTGGTTGGTAGTTCTAGTGAGATTGATTTGGAACTTAGATTAGGGTTTTAGTTAACATTTTGGACTTTCCAACTAGATATGGAGTTTGTGCCCTTAATATGTTTAATCTGTTGTAATCTTTATGCTTTTGTTTATTTTTTTTT